GAGGGGCGGGGCGGGGCGGAGCGGAACGGAGTGTGGCAGGGCCGCCGGAAGCAGGTCTGAGGCCACGCTGGGAATTTAGGGCTGCTCAAGGGCCAACTGTTTAGAAAAGTGGGATTTAACTACAACCTGCAGGGGCAACTGCCCCTCTTGATGTATTTGAACTGATGCTTCTTGCCGACATCGACTGACGTTTACTTAAGGAATGTGGAAATAACTAGTTGCTTTTCGAGAAACCAAGACAAGAAAATGATTTCTGTTTATTTAGTGTGTGCATGATCTCTTTGTCACACTTAACTTATACTTGAAATAGTCAAATGATTTTGCCACCTTAAACAAGTTGGCGTCTAAGATTTGTTTCATGTGCCACCTGAAACAATTTATGTTGCATTTTCTTTCTCATTGGAAGCATTTTTACAGTTAGGATTATTGTGAACAACTTGGCAGTTTTAACTCTCAGCTTTGTCATTGACATCGCGATTTAAAACAAAACCGAACCACTTATTTCACACGATTCTGGAATCCTTCGGGTTATGGAAGAGTTGTGGGTTATTGAATGGCTGTGTAACATGCATATGACGACTTGAATTAACCTGCTTGTTTGGTTAGTATAGTATTTAATTAACCAGTTCTGCCATGCCTGGCAAACTTGCACTTGTGGGAAGCAGTTTCCATAACTGAGCGTCTGCTAGAGGGAGACGGGATAAAAGCAAAGCCATCACCCCAGGGTGGACTTTCTCCGAAAGCTTTAATGCATGCTTGTTCTTACTTTTTTTTTTTCCCATGTAAAAGTACCTTGGTTGTGCAACTGCCTTGAATATTATATTATCAGAACCCCTGATTTTCCCTAACATGTGCAAGAACATGACTTCAGCCCTCCAATCTCAGTGATTCTTCTCAATCCCGAGGTAATGCCCCCCAAGGATAGAGTCTACTGTTGCCCATGGTTAGGTGTGATGGGGGCAGTGTGTGGAAAAGAGGCTCGCTGGTAAGTGTCCTAACACCCGGGAGAGGCCTCAGTGACAAAGACTTATCTAGTAAAAAATGTCGCTTGTGCCAAACTTAAGAAACCCTGCTTAAGAACAAAGCTTTTTATGGTGGAATTATATGGGGTTTGACTCCAGAAGTGGGGTTAATAAGATTTACTCTGCAGAGTTAAGTTACACGTTGTGTGTCCTTAGTGAAGTGTCTGCTATTGGCCTTCCAGATAAAACTCTGCCTGTTGGAACTACCTTTATCAATACAGTTGCCTGGAGTTGAATTATTTCGTTACTGTCTTTGTTCATTAAGCAGACATTTTCTGAGTGCTTTCGGTGGGCTGCTACAGTCCGTGTTTGGTGCATTTATTCTGTAGCTTTCTTTCTAACCAAGCATGTTGTATGCATGGGTGTGTGTGTGCGTGTGTATGTACATGTGTGTATGTGTGTATTGGTGGATGTCTGTGTTTATGTGTGAGTGTATGTATGTGTGGGTGGGTATGTGGGTGTCTGTGTATGTGTATGCCTGTGTGCATGTGTGTATGTATGGGTGTGTGGGGGGGTGTGTGGGTGTCTGTGTGTGTATGTGTGAGTGGGTGGGTGTGTGTGGGTCTGTGTGTATTTGGCTCTGTGTGTGTATGTACATGTATGTGGGGTGGTGTGTGGGTGTCTGTGTGTGTATATGTGTCTGGGAGGGCAGAGGACAACTTATTCTTTCTTTCCATCATCTGGCCCAGGGGTGAACGCAGGTCTTTGGCTTAGTGACAGGTGCCTTCGCCTGCTGAGCCTTGGTTTGCCTTGGTCACAAACAAACTTTGATGGACAAACACTCCTAAAAAAATGAGTTGAATTGGGCCAATAATTTTAAAGTCAGGCTTATTGAGACTTTAACAAAATAAAATTTACTGTTTGCAAGTTTACTGTGGCTTGAAAATACTAAGATTTTTGGTAAGAGAAATAATTACATGTAGAACTGGCAAATTATGCACTTGATATTATAGGAACATATGTATTAGTATTAGAAAGTAATATCCCTTAGCTTTTAAAATCTTCTGTTCTTATGTGGATACTGTGCAGTTGTAAATCATTTTATCTTTCTGTTTTTGCTTTGTTTTTTTTTTTTTCTTTCGTTACAAGAAAGCTGCTTTGCAGACGATAGGAGAAGATCAAAGTCAGAACCCCTACACTGAGCTGCTGGTCCTGAGCGCGCACCGGGACATTGTCCGGTTCCTGGTGCAGCTGGATGACAACAGGTAAGGGACCTGCCTGGCTACTGCTCGCTGCTCAGAAAGACGTTTTAGAGTGTTTCTGTTTCTGTTAAAAACAACTTCAAAATTAATTCATCTTTTGTAAAAAAAAAAATCAAGATTCTGATAATTGGAAAACACAACCAACTGAAAGTAGTCACATTAGTAAACAGTTGAAATGGACTTTGAACCCTGCTGAAAATATGTTTAAATTTGTTTAAACCCAGTTTCACCTTGTCCCATGTCACATGGGGACTTGTGCATTATATTTGTTTCCTTTTTTATTTGATGTTTTAGAAAAAATTGTCATGAAGTTTTAGAAATATTCTCACTTGCATAGAAGAAGCAAATAAATGACTTTAAGAATTTGATTTTCTGGCTGTCACATCAGGAACAAATACGGTGTTTAAATATTAGGTACATGCTAGAATATACGTGTTGTGGAATGCTACTTTAACTAGGCAAAGATGTCTTACATTTGTTTATGTGGCAGGATATTACCTTAACTATGTAAAGGCGTATTGCTTTTGTTTACACTGCATTGTTTAATGATGTAAAGATGTGTTGCTGCTTCACCTTGCCTGCCTAAGGCATCTGACTGGTCTAATAAAAAGCTGAATGGCCAGAAGCTAGGCAGTAGAGGGATAGGTGGCGCTGGTGGGCAGAGAGAATAAATAGGAGTTGAAATCTAGGCTTGGGGAAGAGGAGAGCGAGAAAGGGAAAAGAAAGGAAGATACCTAGGGCAGCCAGCCAGACCCAGAGTAGGACGAATGGAGTGAAAGGAAGATTAAAAAGCCCGGAGGCAAAATGAGATGAAGAGAAACAGGTTCAAATAAATTATAAGAGCTGGTGGAAGTAGCAAGGTAAGGCTGAGCATTCGTAACTAATAATAACTCTCCATGTCATGATTTGGGAGCTGGTTGGTGGCCCAGGAGAAAGCCTGCTGGCTTAGTGGAAGGTAAAGTAAGGTTTAACCTGAATTTCTGTCATTGATGAACTTCTTTAAAGCCCTGCATCATTCTCCGGTTCCTGGGTAGTGCATGCTATGTCTGCCGTGTCTGCAAGTAGAGACAATGGTGCTGAGGTCTGAGGGCTGAGTGCTTAGCTTGTCTCTCAGCCCGTTTAGCTGCAAGTCACGTCACTGATGGCGTCATTTCCTAACCAGATCTGGAAGTGCCATGAGAGTCAGGACTTTGCTCTTCTTTCTTCTTTCTTCTTCTTCCTCCTCCTCCTCTTCCTCCTCCCCGTTCCCCTCCTTCCTCCTCTCTCCTCCCTCCTTCTCCTTCTTCTTCATTATTCTTTGGACTTAGTTCAGTGACTTAACACGTAGGCTGCATTGACAGGTAGCTGTCGAGTGAGCTTATGCAGCTGGGCTGCAGCCTACCCTGACCTGACCCGGCTCTGCGGCCCCTGCAGTCCCCCTGGTGACTTGGCTGCTTCTTCTCTTTTGAGCTCCTGAGTGACTGCAGCTACGATGGCTGTCACTCTCCTGCCGCTGTCTGTTGGCTGTCTTTTGAAACTTTTTATCATGTGTAGTTTAATTCTGACTCTAGCGAAGTGAGGCCAAGACTCAGAGATAGAGTTCTTCCCAGCATTCCCCTCACCTCAAACGCCAGCCGTCCTCTGTGCTTCCATATCATCTGCACTTCTGATCAGCCAGCTACAAGTCCTTCCTTGTGCTTCCTTGGGTTTGAAAATTCATTGAAAGGACCTCGTAAAGAATCATAGAATGGTTACAGCTTTTATTACAAACTAGACCTCAAGGTCTGCTGGGCAGATGGGATGAAGGGAGGTCGAGAGTCCCGAACGCAGAACCTCTAGGTCCTCAGGGCTTGCTGCCTTCCATTGTGTGTGCTGCCAGGGGGGAGCCCACTGGAGCTTTGGATTTGCAGTTTTGAGTGGGGTGTCACTGTGTAGGCATGTCTGTGCAGTGAGTCATGATCACAATACTTCTGGAAAGCCAGTCTGCTATCCTGTGGTATCAGGAAGTCCAAGACTTCTCATGGCTCATCTCTTCAGCGTAGCCCACCCCCTGGCCACATTATTTAAGAGCCGACACCAAGTCACCCAGTAACATGAATATTGAAGCCATTTCTATCACTAAGGAAATTTCAAGGGTTCAGAGGCTCCCGTCTAGGAACTAAGAGCCCAGACCAACAAAATACTGATGCACTATGTCTCGATCATGGCTCAAAAAGATTTGCCTCTAACGCATGTTACTAGCCAGGTTGCATCGTTTTCCAAGTCACAGCAGGGAAGCGTAGCATAGCCTGCTTATGCCTTTGGTTAATGTTTGTTCTCCCTCCATTTTTGTAAGTATAATATTTGTTTATGACTTAAATGACCATTTCTGTGGGAAACAGCATTTCTGCAAAGGTGGAATTTTTGGGTAACCGAAGGTTTCATGTGTCATATTTTATCCCAGGAAGTTACTGGGTTAAAGACATCCAGATAATAACTTATAGCCACTATTATAGGCCTTAAGGAATTCTAAAATCACTTTGTTTGCAAGATTAGGTAATCCATATAAAGCATACTCTCAGGATCTACTCTTGAAGCTTCATGCAGGCTGTTAGGGTTCCACGTTCATGCCGTCTGTCCTTTAGGGTGTGCCCTCTGAGTTATTATTCCACAGTTAGAAGAATCTGAAAGCAGGGCTGAGTTGTGGGATGGTGGCTGTGGATCAGGCGCTGACAGATAGTGCGTGTTTTCACGGTGACACTCGTGAACACGTCAGCTAGGTCCAGAGAGGAGCAGTCTGTAAGCAGGACAAGCTGGAGCTGACAGTGTGAGAGGTTGGCTGCTCCAGTGTCAACCCAAAGCAGCCACCACGTCCTCAGCCTAGCTCTTGACTCCGTCAGATGGTAGTTTTGACTTGACTCACCCGGGCGTCTCTTTTCGTTTAGGATTTGAATCAGGTCTGTGTGTGTCTGTGGTCAGCTAGTAGGCTGGCTAAGGAGTGCGGACAGGATGGCAGTCTCCTCCTCTCATGCCCTTTTCCTGGAGTGACATGGAGTTGTGACAGGACAAGTCCCAGGGCAGAGGCTCCCATGTCTCTTTTTATGCCACGTTTGCTGCTGCTCACGAAAGAGCTGAATAAACTCTCCATGTGTGGGCAGCTAGGTCCTGTTGTACGTGGTGACCCTAGGAGTAGAGGTCATCCATGACCCTGCTTGCTATGTGCCACAGTGAGTTTCAATGCCTAGAATGGACAAGCCTGCTTTTTTTGTGTGTGTTTAGCCTTACAATGGTGACAGACTTTCTTCTCAAATTACTTTGAATTCTTTCTAATCAAGTCATCAGTGTATCAAAACTTACATGTAGTAAAAAAAAAAAAGCTCAGTTGCAGACCTGTAAAATATTGAAGTTCCATGTTCTTTAAAAATTTATTCTGTAGCAAAAGAATCTCAAAAATAAAGATTTAACAAATATATGAAAAATCTATTAATTATAACATTAGGAAAATAATTAGATCTCAGTGCTTTTACCATTAAAGTTTGGTGCCCACTCCCACCCATTGGAGATTGAACCCAGGGTTTCATGCATTCCAGACAAGCATTGTACCAGGTGAGCCAGACACCCAGCCCCTAAAGTGTCTTAAAATATATAATAAATGTTTGTGCCTATTGATGGGTTGTTTTCATTTCTAACTGTTCAGTTGGGATTATCTTTGTTGTGTTAGCGCATTCTTAATTTACAGAAAACACTTACCCAGTTTTTAAACAAATTCCCGGTGTTACACCTCTTATTTATTTATCTGTAGTTCTCGTAGGCGTTCCATGGTCAGCCATTGTAATCCAGGTTTCACGCTTCAGGTATCTAGATAATATCATCTGATTGGAAATTTTGCAGAAGGATTTTCTTGTTTTCTCAGTGGCTCACCTAAAACCAGTGAGTGGAAAATTTTCTCGATTGGTTTTTGAAGATACCAGATAAATTCTGTATATCACCTAACAGACAGCTGCCTTTTCTTCTCCTCTTGGGTGTTTTTTGAACGAGGGTCATATTGATTGGGAGATCTTCTTCAGAAGGCTAAGCCTCAGCAAGAATTTTCCAGAACACGGACTGTGCCGAAATTGCTCACAGCTGTAGCGCTGACACATCACGCTAAACCGAGTTCACAGCGCATTCGAAGACTGGCTTGTTCTGTCGCTCGTTTGACCATTCTTTGCTCCTCCAGGAAGCAGACAAGGTTATATAGGAAGGTGGTCATGACTGGAAGAGAATCCGATGACCCATGAAGCACCAGACTGCAGGAAAAGATGCTTCTTAGGAGCTAGGGTGGCTGAATTTTTAAGGCAGTGTTGTTTGGTAACTCACTGAGAACAGAAAGTATATTATGCCTTTAAGAAGGTATTTTTGAGTTAAGAATATCCCTTCTCATTTACTCCATTCAGAGTATAGAAATCAGAATGGCTCAGAGAGCTGAAGGAAGTGGCACATGCCTGTAATTTTAGCATTGGAGAGGCCAAAGTAGGAGGATCAGAAAATCTGAAGCCTGCCTGGACTATATACAGAGCTCTAACCCCTTGTCTCAGAAAAACAATTTTTAAAATTGTACTGAAAATCATAGACAATGCAATAAAATTAAAGAGGCAGACTAGACTGTTTCAAATTCTAGGGTTCCCATGGAAACACTATAATAATATTAAGTATGTATGCATTATTAGAGAGAAAAAAGGACAAAGCAGAATTGGCCGGGGCATGCTGTCTCAATGCTGATGAGACCTGGTTCTGCACCATGGGAAGCCTGGAGGAAGGATTGCCTGTTGGGTCGGGTGCATCCTCTGGATGGAAACAGACTTTGTGTCACTTTCCTTGTTGGCCTTGTGCTGAGATTCAGCCAAGCAGAGCAGGCCCCAAACTCTAGCGCCTTGCTTAGTACCATAAGACTTGGAGCCAGTCCGATCTGAGATTGAAATGAACCTGAAGTCCATGGCTAGAAGCCACTGGACAACACATTTCTCAGAGCTGGGCAGCTGGTCCCCTCTTGAACTGGAAGGTGC